TCTGGAGTCAGCAACCAGCCCCTTTGAGACTTTGGTTCCAGGCCAATGGGGCTCCTAAGAGTGTTTGCTGGGAAACTGAGGTCCCCAGCCTGTATGACCCTCACCAGCTGTGGACACCCCGGCTCAGGCCTGGTGGCATCTCGGTGGCTCAGAGTAGCTGCTCCAGAGTCCAGCGATTCTACACTTCATGTTGTCTCACAGCAGCCGGGTCTCCCTTCCACAGTATGGGCGGTGACTCAAGGCAGGTAACAAGTGCCCCCTGGTGGTGACCCAGGGTTCTTCCTCTCTGCTTGGAACCGCCTCCTGTCTGTGCAGCCCCACTGGGTGCTGGGAAACAAGAGGAATTGCCAGTCCTGCTGGGTGGCAGGAATCTCTAGTCCTAGTTCCTTATTCAAAGTCCCAATAAAGACAGGTGGGGACAATCTGCAGAGCCGTGTGGAGGGTGGGAGGACCTGGAAGTGAGTTCTACATTCCTGTGTCTGCCTTCCTGAGTGTCTCACAAGCCTGTGTTCCTCTCCCTGCCCTGGCTGTCAAATGCTTCCTGCTCCATGATCTTGTTCCCAGAATCCTCGACTCCTGCCTCAGTGGCCCGTCCTCATGCCATCACCTCTGTGGCCCCAGGCTCACTCACTGCTGACCCAGCTAGGGCTACCAGGGATTCAGAAGGAAACCCGGGAGCTTTGACTGGGACAGTGGCTTCTAAAATGTCACTGTGACTCTGGAGGCTGGGTCAGAAGGATTACAAAGTCAAGGCCTGCATGGAGTACAAATAGTTCTAGGCCAGCCTGGGTAACTTAGTATGGAATGGGGAGTGGGACTATAGCTCAGTGGTAGAGCATTTGCCTAATATGCACAAGGCCTTATGTTCAACCCCAGTACAGAGTGGGGGTGAGAAGAGAAGAAAGGAGAGGAGAGGAGAGGAGAGGAGAGGAGAGGAGAGGAGAGGAGAGGAGAGGAGAGGAGAGGAGAGGAGAGGAGAGGAGAAGAGGACACTGAGCAGAGGAAGGGAAGCTGGGTCACCAGAACTGAGAGCAGGTGCCATGCCAGTACCACGGTTGTCGGCACACACTGAAAACAGTGCAGCTGTGTGGAAGCCATCTGAGCGCCACACCTGCCAGGGGCAACATTTTCACTCTGGGCAGGTTATGCTGAGTAGGCAAGGAATTTGTACACAACCTGAAAAATGTATCCCTCTAGTGGGTAGGGGATGTTGCCCAATAAAAGAGGGACACTTTACCTCCTCTAGGGAGACCTCCAGGCCCTCAGTCTGAGAGGGCACAGACAAGAAGGTGCTCGGCAATGGGCTTCCACCTCCAAGCCACCCAGCCACTTTTGGGGGAGAAGGAGCCTTCAGAACTTGCTTTCCGGGCAGGAACAGGTCTCAACATGAGAACCTCCTGGCCAGAGCCTGGCGGCAGCGCAAACACATGCCCAGGCGAAAAGGAAACACTTTGAAGAAGGTGGAGTTCAGCAAAGTCTCCTCAGCATCTGGGCTTTCCCCTGCTGCCCTTCCCACACACACCCACAGACCCAGTCAGGCCTACCCAGGGTTCCTGGACCTTGCTTGGCTAGCTAGGCGGGGGTTCCCCTCTCCTCCCATGCCACAGATAGTATCATGATGACCCAGCAATCCAGACTCAGTCACACCACTGAGGAGAGGCAGGTCTCTGGGATTACACCCAGGCTTCCTGACAAAAGAAACTGTCGCAGCAGCAAAACTTCCAGTCGAGAGTTGTCAGGGCGACTCCTCCTCCTCCTGCCTCCACCCACCACCCCCTGAGAACACTGCTCAGGTGCATCATCTGGCGAAATAATGTCTCAGAGCTATAAAGTGCTGATGGTGACAGGGTTACACTTGACTGGCGTCAGCCACTCCCTCCCACCTTTCCTGCTCAGGGTGCAAGGAAAGCCCAGACGGACACAGCCCAGGAATGCCTAATGGGGCAATGAGCATCTTGCCATCGGCCTGCGGGGTACAGTACAGAACCAGGAAGGGGGCCTGCTCAGAAGTGGAGGGAGGATTGGGCCAGAGGGCTGACATCAAGGACAGGTATGAGGAAATTGAACTCAAACAGGCTTATGAGGCCCCTGAAGGTCACTGGCAAACAGGGTGATGTTCGACTACTGCTGCTATTTAGGATGGCCAGAGTGTGATAGCGTTGAAGCATGGAGGGGTCGTTAATTGATAGTGTTATTGTTTAAGTTCTCTGCACACAAACACTTCTATTACCATACCTACCTGCCCAGAACACACTGTGCAAGGCCACACGGCTACAGAGAGGTAAAAGTGGGATTAACCCAGTCCACCCAACTCCATCATCTGACTCAAGCCTTCCTCCCTCTCTGGTGTCCTTCCTGCTGCCCTCTGACTCCTCCGCTGCCCACCTCCAGTGGGGTTCTCCTGTCCCTTCCCTATTCCCCTGTGACTTTTTGCCTGGCCTTAGAGTCATACAGATCTCTTTCTCCAAGAATCAAAGCAGGAGAAAGATGTGGCTCCATCCTGAGAGTTCTTGTATTTCTGTGACCCCACGGTCTCCAGGGCCACATCTGTCTATGCTGACACCCTGAGGCTCCTGTTCCTAAAAATACCTGCACAACAACCAAATGCCCAAACACCCCTCTCTCCTTTCTCTGCTTTGTCTCTCTGCTTTTAACCCTTGAAATGCATTCATGAGTTTCTGAACTGGATGCTGGGAGGGTATGGTTAGGGTTGGGTTCTGTTGAATGAACGAATGTCTTAAAAACACAAACAAACAAACAAACAAACAAACAAACAAAACAGCAAGCAATAAATGCAGCAGGAGAGTCCCTCCTGAGTGGTAGACAGGAAGGAGGGGCTGGGGCAGAGTGAGCAATGGAGCGGTGGAGGGAAGTGCAGTCAGCAAAGGGAATGCAGAGTCACTGCAGAGAGCCATTGGCTCTGAAGGGCCTCCGCAAAGATATGGCATGGTTTAACAGGTCTCTGAAGGACCCCTTGACCATGGTGTTGAGAATGGCCTGAAGGAACAGGGACAAAAGTCAGAGTCGTCCCAGGAGCATGAGTCAGTAGACCCAATGAGGAGCAAGCAATGGGCTCCAGCTGGCCCAGCAGCAGGGAATACTACAAGAAGCATGTGGGGTTCAGATGCGGTGATGGTGGGTGTATTGTGGTGGATGGAGTGAAACACTGAAACCCAGAGAAAAGAATGATTCCAAGACTACCGCATGAGCTGTCACACAGACAGTGAGACTGGCAAATGAGAAATATGAAGTAGGAAGAATTAGGGGAAGACGCATTGCCTGAGGTGCCTGTCGGATCTTATGCTTGGGGATCTGGAGAGATGGTGCAGTGGTTAAGAGTATGACTGTTCTTCCAGAGGGCCCAAGTTCCACTCTTAGCACCTACACGGAGCTCAAAACACACTGTCACTCCAGCTCCAAGGGGTACAACGTCATCTTCTGGTTTGGGGGTACCTGAACTCTCATGCACATACCTTCCACACAGAGATACACACACAGGTACATATTAAAAATAGAATAGAGTGCAAGGGAAGTCTCGGGTACAACTATGCATTGGTGCTCACTGGCAGGCAGGGTCTTTAAATCCCTGCGTTTAAAGTTACCAAGGAATGATGATAGGCAAAAATGATAAACAGTCAGAGGGCTGGCCCACAGACACTGGGTATGTAGAGCTCGGAGACATGACTGGCTAAGAAGATTCAAAAGGAATTGGGAGAATACAGTGTCTGGAATGAAAAGAAGGCCGTATTTGGAAGATGAAGGTGTGTGGATTGTGTCAAACACTGCTGATTGGTCAGGAGGACTGAGAGCTGAGGAGAGCATGGAGGTCAGCCACAGAGGTCTCTGGTTATCTTTACTGGACGTGCTCTCCTGCTGTTTATTTTCCTTCTCCCTTTTTAGACAGACAGCTGACAGAAAAAAATAATGCTCACCTGAGTAGGTTTCTCATAGAAAAAGCACTGATCTAACTGTGTGTCATGCATATATCAATATATATCTATAACAAATATTAACCAAGCATTCAAGCAAGCACATGTTTCCCCAAGCATAAAACTAGGTCATGCATTAGGCACTAGAAAGTAAAAGGGAACCAGCCACTTGGAGCCCTGAATACCTGTAATATTGCTAACTGCGATCATCTCCACTGGCTTAGGACTTTTCATTTTGTATTCAGGTCTTTACTGCTTTGATTCTGTAACTCAGCCTAAGAATTATGAACAGGTTTGAGGAACCTGTGAGGATCTGGGGTAACTCAGATCCAGGGTATGCCTGGAGCTTGAAGGTAGAGGCCCCAAGTCATGAGGAGTAGAGACTGGAGAATAAATGTCCTTTGACAGTCTCGAATCAGAAATGTGTCCACATCAGCCCTTGTAAACAGCCAGACCATGAAGGGTGGACAGGACCCAGCAAAGGGCCTTCTGAGTATTGACTCTATCTGCAGAGATGCATCGAGCTGTTTCTCTCTGCAGGATTTCTTCCTTGGAGCTGTGCATACCCTGTCCCCTGTGCACACCCCCTCCGGCCTTGAGAGAATTAACTGTGGATATCCACATTCCTCTACAGCCTCTGGCTGGAACTGTTAGCATTCTAACTCTCTGGTGGTTAGCCACACTTAGAGTGGGGGGGGGAGCCTTTGGATTTATGAGCAAAGCAAATTAATGTCCCCATAATGGCAATTGTGGTGAACTTATAGCGAAAATGAGACTTTAATGTTTATGTGTTTATATGTTTTTAATGTTTATTGGTTGCCTGCTCCAGCCCGCATCCTGATGAGAATAGGTGTTGCCTGAATTAGTTCACTGTGAAGGACGTTAGAGACAAGAGTTTCTGCTAACTACCCAAGCTCATAAACGCCTTTAGATGGCTTTTTTGTTTTTATGAGGCCAATCCTCATGTCCACACACACATAAAAGGATGAGAGGATCCACTAGTCTCACAGAGACTCCCAGCTCCATCTCACCCACTTCATACTGCTCCTCAGCTGTCCCCACAAAGCCACCATGTCTTGCCGCTCCTACCGAGTCAGCTCTGGTCATCGGGTGGGCAGTTTCAGTTCTTGCTCAGCAATGACCCCTCAGAATCTGAACCGCTTCCGGGCCAGCTCTGTCTCCTGCAAGAGTGGGTCTGGCTTCCGTGGCTTGGGTGGCTTTGGTAGTCGGAGTGTCAACTTTGGATCACCCTCACCTCGGATAGCGGTTGGATGCTCTCGTCCTATCCGCTATGGAGTTGGCTTTGGAGCTGGCAATGGAATGGCCTTTGGCTCTGGTGACGGGTGTGGAGTTGGTCTGGGATTTAGGGCCATTAGTGGTGTTGGCCTAGGGTTTGGAGCTGGCAGTGGCCTTGGCTATGGTTTCGGCGGCCCTGGCTTTGGCTACAGAATTGGAGGAATTGGAGGTCCATCAGCCCCCTCTATCACAGCTGTGACTGTTAACCAGAGCCTGCTGACTCCTCTTAACCTGGAGATCGACCCCAATGCCCAGAGGGTGAAGAAAGATGAGAAGGAACAGATCAAGACCCTCAACAACAAGTTTGCCTCCTTCATTGACAAGGTACCTCACTGACTGCCCCTTGGGATAGGCACTGAGAGTTAAGTGGTGCTGGGATGCTCTTCCCCTTCAAAAGGAGCTGGCCTGGGTCTGAGCCACTGGTTTTGACCCAAGTACTTAAGGCATATGACAAAGGCATTGAGGGATGGATAGGTTGTAAGTTGTTCTGCATGGAGAGTAGACAAACCAGAGGAACTGCTGTAAGGTGAGACAGACTAAGACGCTGGTCACAGTTTCTGGAGAAAAGAAAGGTGATCCAGCCAAATCTATGGGCATATGGGCAAACCAAGCCATATTTCTTGGTTACTTAGAAATGTCCCCTACACAGGTTGAGGCTTCAGCCATGTGTTCAATTGGCTCATGCTTAAAATATTTCATTCTTTAAGTTCACAGTGTTCCAAAGGAGATTATCATAGTTCCTGGGGCAAATGGTCTCATCCATTCAGTCTCAGGAGAGTGGAGAATGGAGTGGAGTGATTTTCATGTAAAAGACAAACCAACATAGGCTACCAAGATCTGGTTAAGATTGAGAGAAATACAGAATGCCACCAAAGCTGACATAGAGAAATAATAGTGTAAATTTTCCAAAAGTCCGGGTTGGCCATGTCTGCACAGAGATGAGGTTTGGTCTCTGGAGAGGGAAAAGAACCCCTAAGCTCATTTTTGTTGTGGAGCCAAGGAGCTTGGCTGATAGAATATTGTAGATGCTGTTGATGGTGTACAGTCCCAGGTAGCCACCTCCTAGTGCCACAATGACCCCCAATGTGCTGTCACTGTCCTGTGTACTCTGCTGGGAATAGCCCATATCTACTCTCAGATACAGGCAAGACCAGCAGAAGCCGCATCCTTCAAACTTCTTCATGACTGGCTGACATTTGCTTAGGTGTGGAGGGGAGAAATGATACTGAAACGTCTTTGTTAGTGGCAAAGTCTAGCTGGGTGTGCAGAGAGGGTCACAGACCTGCTCCCCCTTCTGATGAGTTAGAGGCACAATGAAAGCCCGCAGAAAGAACAGCCATAAAACATGATAGAGCCTCCACTGGCCATCTGAAAAACTGGCCTACACGGTGCACTGCCAAGCCCTTTATGTGTTGTTTTGCTTCTTGGATGTAGGTAAGGTTCCTGGAGCAACAGAATAAACTCCTTGAGACTAAGTGGAGCTTCCTCCAAGATCAGAAATGTGCTCGGAGCAACCTGGACCCTCTCTTTGATAACTATATCACCAGCCTGAGGAGGCAGCTGGATGTACTAGTCGGTGACCAGGCTCGGCTGCAGGCTGAGAGAAACCATATGCAGGATGTCCTTGAGGGCTTCAAGAAGAAGTGAGTATATTGGGCTGCCCACACCTGGGCCCTGTATTTCCAGAAGCAGCAGGCCAATGCAGATGAGATAGGATTGTTATTGGCTGTGAAACCCAGCTCCAGATGCGTGGGGGACAGTGAAGTGAGAAGTGGGATAAGGAAGCTCGCTGTGGGGAAAAAGAAATTTTGGGATGGGGAGGGGCTTGTCCTTAGCACTGCCCACAGGGATGAATAAATTGGCTCTAGGAGAGAAGTCTTAAGTTTTAAAAGGAGTTCCCACACTCAGCATTGTGTCAGGCCCTACTTCCTCTGTGCTTATTTGTAATGCCCCTGAGATGTTTCCCACAGAGAAGTGTAGGAATGGTCCAGATTTTCAAACCCTAAATCCAAGTTGAGAAAAAATGAAGGGTTAGGAGCGCCACTAGGTTAGAAAAAGAGGAGGCTAAGGTAGGCTAATCTGTGAGTAGCAATGGAGAACCATGGGCCTCAATAAACCAGGATCCTGTTGAGGGATTAGTGAGGGCTTGGGAGCATCATGAGTGAGTGCTTACCCTCTTCATCTCCATGCTCCCAGGTATGAGGAGGAGGTGGGATGCCGAGCTATCGCTGAGAATGAGTTTGTAGCTCTGAAGAAGGTAAGACGCAGCAGATAGCCAAGGGAAGGTCTATGTGGAGGCGCCGTGTTCCCCAGAACCCCAGCCTCAGGCCCAGAAACTTCCCAGGCAGCCCTGTGATGACTGAATGCTCACGCAAACAGCAGAACTCAAAAGATCATGTCCGGTTCCCTTCAAAGTTCTGATTGGACCACAGATTATTCAAGTTTGGGTGCTGTGAGTTTGAAAAAGATGAACTCTTGAGTTTCTTGAAGTACCAAGGGTTTCTTTACTTTTACCTGTAAGAATATTTGGTATTTGGTGTCACAGGATGGGCGCATGTATACCATGGTGCATGTGTGAACAACTTGAGAGTCAGTTCTCTCCTTCCATCATATGGGACCCAAGGATTGAACTCAGGTCTTCAGTCTCCAAGGCAATCTCCCACCTCCTGAGTCATGCCTATGGCCCCCTTCTTTGCTTTTAAATAAGCGTGGGATAAGGTCCAGCCCATGTGTTTCCACATTGCAATGGGAAGAAGGGCAATCACAGTGGGAGCTGATGACTCCTCCTGCCCATCTCCCAACCCCTAGGTAGGAATGGTGAGCGCCATAGGCAGTGAGCTCATCCCTCCTTTTTTTTTTTTTAGTGATTTCATTTGGTTTATTATTTTGACATTATACCAGATTCCAACCTGAGGAATTAAATGGACAATCACATTATAGAATAAAATCAAATAATAACATGATATATTTTCTAATGAAGTTGGGCTTAAGAGGCCAGAGCTGTGAGAAATCTGGATTTCATAGGCTTTGTGAGATAATTTTGACTCTGGATATATGACATTCTAGCTCTCTACCATCACAAGTTTCCATCGCTCATCTTGTCTAATCCAGGTGTCAATTCTTTTTTCTCCCCCAGGAGCATCAGTTTTCATACACTAGACCTTGGTAACTAAGTGCCTTGGCTGCTAAGTCCCAAGTGCAATTTTTTTTTATTTTTCAGTTTAAGTTTAGATAAGAAACAAGGTTGCTTCACAAGTCAGTTCCAGGTCCCTCTCCCTTTTCCTCCCCTCCTCCCATGCCCTCCCCCAACCCCCCCATTATCCCCTCATTTCCCCAGGGAGGGTGAGGCCCTCCATGGGGGTGTCCATAGTCTGTCATTTCATATAGGGCAGGGCCTAGACCCTCCCCCAAGACTGCACCTCACATTGTTGGATGGGAGTCCAAAGTCCGTGTGTATACTCGGGATTCATCCCTCCTTTTTATGCAGGATGTTGACACAGCTTTCCTGAATAAATCGGATCTGGAAGCTAATGTGGATGCCTTGGCCCAGGAGGTTGAATTCCTGAAGGCTCTGTACCTGGAGGTGAGGCTCTTCTTCTCTAGGCCTTTAAGGATGACACTGCTCAGCCTGCACGCCCTGGGGGCTGAGTCAGGCCTTTGGGTTTCCAGGTGCTGGTTTCATACATCTAGTTCCACCCCCACTCAGACCTGTGTGCTCTCTGCCAGTGTGTCTGGGGGTGAGGAAGGCCAGGGACTTCACAGAGCATCTCCACAGCCATGTTAGGCCTGACAGTGAACTCCCATCATGTGAGATCCAAACCTACATTGGCCAAGCTACAGGCTGAGTTCTGGAATGCCTGGCTAACGATTTGCCAGAAGAAAAGAAGTGTATCTGATTTAACTAGCCAAACTGATGTCATTTGCTTCCAAACAGCCTGTGTAGGCTGAAGAGCGGTCAGTCAGGGCTGTAGGGGATGGTCTCACCAGGTTGGAGACCCTGATTCTCTGAAGCATCCAGATCTAGGAATCTCTAGGCTCTACTATGTTTTAAAGTATTGTTACCTCTCAATGGACCATGACCAGCCCAGTCACTTTGTGGGTAGACCAGCGTGAACTTACATAGCTATCACCAGTCACCTGAGGTACATGGTTTTGACAGTCACCTAAGCCAGAGTAAGCAACTGGAGGTATGCACTAAGCATGCAGCAAGGGCTCTAAAGTCAGACTCATGCTTTTCTTCTGAGCTCCAGACTGGATGGGAGAGGGGTCTAGCAATGTCATAAAGCAAGAAGCAATGCCCCTGTGTCTGACTCACAGGGAACCCTGTGACAGAGTCCCAGCTGCTGGTGGACCCCTGAGTCCCTCTGCCTTGTTGTTTCTCCATTACAGGAAATCCAGTTGCTGCAGTCACACATCTCAGAGACATCTGTCATTGTGAAGATGGACAACAGCAGGGACCTGAACCTGGATGGGATCATAGCTGAAGTCAAGACCCAGTATGAGGAGGTGGCAAGGCGCAGCCGTGCTGATGTCGAGGCCTGGTACCAGACCAAGGTACTAGACCAAGGCAACAGGAGACTGGGAGAGGGGAACAGGTGCCCTGGGGTGATGACTTTGGTCTGAGGTCTTCAACTCAGACTGCATATGGTCAAAACACTGCATTCTGTCACCAGTATGAGGAGATGCAGGTGACGGCTGGCCAACACTGTGACAATCTACGAAACACACGGGATGAGATCAACGAGCTGACCCGGCTGATCCAGAGGCTGAAAACAGAGATCGAGCATTCCAAGGCCCAGGTGGGAAAGAAAAGGAGAGAAAACCTCAGAGGGAGGAGAGGCCGGGTGCCTGGCTTTGAGAAGCCCCAAGTCTGGTGAGGTAAAGGACCCACCAGGACCTGGACACAAACCAGAGGGCTGTCCAGAAAAACTTCCGGGAGAAGAGAAATATGGGCCAGGAGGAAGGCCTGGGTAGGAGGGCCATAAACAATAGAAGACTCTGGAATCCTTAGATCTGCCTCAAGGCAATGGAAACCCAGTAGGGGTAGAGAGTGGGAAAAAGCAATACCCCACCACAACCACCATCCCTGGGAAAGCAGCCACCCAGAGCTCCCATCTAGGCCCGGCACTAGGTTTCACCCCTGTCAGTAAGGGCAGTGTTGCCAACCCCACTGGGGGAACCCTGTGTCTCTAGCAAAGCACACGTGCAAACTCCCTTCCCTGCAGTGTGCCAAGCTGGAGGCCGCCGTGGCTGAGGCAGAGCAGCAGGGTGAAGCGGCCCTCAATGATGCCAAGTGCAAGCTGGCAGATCTGGAGGGTGCCCTGCAGCAGGCCAAGCAGGACATGGCGCGGCAGCTGCGGGAGTACCAGGAGCTCATGAACGCCAAGCTGGGCCTGGACATCGAGATCGCCACCTACAGGCAGCTGCTGGAGGGCGAGGAAATCCGGTGAGAACAGGAAGAAATGAGGTCAGACATCCAGAAAGGCTATCAAAACAAGGGAGGGAGCCAGATGAAGAAACCTGGAATGAGCAGTCTCTAGAGAGAACAATACATTTTCCAAAAATATTAGTCGGTTGCCCTTGGCACAGGCTTAGGAGGTGCTGTGCCATCAACTCTGTTTACAAGTGAGCTGCACCAGGTCATAGGCATTTTGCCTGGCTGATTCATTGGTTAAAATGATAATAGGTCATCAAATAGTTTAGGTCAACAATTTAGAGGCAATCTCTAGAAACATGGTATACTTCAAAAAGTGCTTAACAGTTGGGGATGCTGGTCTACCCAGACAAGAAACCCTCTGACAGCAAGCAGGTCCATAAAGCAAGCAAAAATGTTTGTTTCTTTCTCTCTCCAGGATCTGTGAAGGTGTTGGGCCAGTAAACATATGTAAGTATATAGCCTTTTTTTCAGACCATTTCTTAAGGAAGCTTCTGAGATTAGCTGGTCTGGCCAAGACAGTCAGGGGAGCAGGCCTGGACTGGGAGCGTGTCCTCAGCAGAGGCTCGGAAACAAAGAGTAGACAGTGGTTTATGGAGCCTTCGAAGTGGGAGAAGGTTCCTGGAAAGAGACTTTTGGCTTTCAGTGGCCATACAGGCCACTATCACAGAGACTTGGAAGGAGTGGAAAGGCAAAGAGGTGACTCATATCTGCATTGCAGGGATGGGACAATGCTAAGCAGCTTCCTGCTGCTTCTAGAGTATGGGCTGTTGCCCCAAGCAAGTGTGCTACCGTGCTGTCACTGCGCCCCTGCTCTGTAGAACTCCAGTCTTCTTGGGAAGGGGAGTATTAGCCAGTACCATGCTAATCCCGGAAGGACACTGCCCGGTGAGGGTGGGCAGAGCACACCAGCTGTACTCCCAGAGAAGAGCCCTGATCTGCTGAAAGGCAAAGAGACGGCAAAGCTCTTCTGCAGAAAGTCAAGCCCAGAGGTCACCGAGGCAGCACGGACACTGGTGCAAAAACAGAGATGTCAAGCTTACAGGCAGGGCCGCTTTAAGGAAGGATTTAAGCCCTGAGGGATTGGCCACGTCCAGTAAAGCCCAGCAGGGCTACACAGCAGAGTCATCAGTGAGGCAGAGATGGCTGGCCAGGAAATGGTGCTGGCAGAATGTCTTATCTGATAGATACATGGGAACAAGCAAAAAGTACAATATAATCAGAGAAACCGCCCTGTGGTTCTGTGACGGTCACTGCTCCCTGGATGGCACATCTCCCTTGGCCTCTCAAATCTACCTGGCATGGGGCACAGACAAATGGTAGTTTGTAGACGTAAATGGGAGCCGATCTATGGGTATGGGCAAATGCCCAGGGGTCCAGACAGAGCCCTCCCACTTCACCTAGATGGCTGCTTTTCACACAGTCTCAGTCTGTGAGCCACTCCGGCAAGCGACTAGTGAGTCCTGGAGTCAACATTCCTTTCCTCTCTTCTCCACAGCTGTGAGCAGTTCTCGGGGAGGTGTGCTGTGTGGCCCGGAGTCCCTGGCCTCGGGATCCAGCCTTTCCCGCAACGGCGGAGGGGTCACCTTCTCCAGCAGCAGCAGCATCCGTACCACTGGAGGGGTTCTGACTTCCTCAGGCCTAAGGGCTGGTGGGGACCTGCTGAGCTCTGGGGCCAGAGGAGGCGCAGTGCTGGTGGGGGGTGCCTGCGCCCCTAGCATCCCCTGCCCACTTCCCACTGAGGGCGGCGTCAGCAGCTACAGTGGTGGCCGTGGCAACCGCAGCTCCAGTGTCCGCTTCTCATCCACCACCACCTCTCACAGGACCAGGTACTGAGCACCTACCCCGTGATGGCCATCGCTGGAGAAGAACCAGCCAAGCATTCCTTGCTTCTGTCCCCTGAGGTGCACAGACTCTGGTCCTGAGGAACCTCCAGTCACTCTTCCTGCCAGCACACAGCCCTGGCCTATGTCCTCTTGAAGGACATTCCATTGTGTAGACACACCATCCATCCACAGCCCCAGGGGCACTCGCTTCTCCCTAAGTCCCAGTTTCCCCTGGGGATGGCCCTCAGCCTTCAGTCAGCATTTGCTACAGACCGCACTGTACCTGGGGAGAAGGGGACCATCCTGAGCAGTGTGAGCACAGACCCCTGGGGCCTGCAGGCATCCTTGCTCCTCCCCCTCCCTTTCCCTGGCAGAAGAGGTTTCTTTCTCCCTCTCCTGCCCCCAAAGGACACAGTCCTCGGCGACCACAGGGATTCCTAGGTCCCTGTGATGGTTCTCCTGCCAGTGCCCAACCCTCGCCGTCTCTCTCATGGTTGTTGGTTTATCTGTGATAGATGAGTCTGCCGAGTAGGTGGACTGCACATGGAGAGGTGGCCTTTTCAGCTGTGTGTGCCTTGTCCTGTAATGACATGAGGCCCAACTCTGTGCCCTGTTGCTGCAGCAGGCCTGTGTCCGCAAACCCCAGGAGGGGTGGTGGAGGGGTGGGTGGGTGTCTGTTTGTATTACTCTTCGTGTTCCTGGGTTTTCAATAAACTTGCCAAGCTAACTTCACAAGGACTCTGCCTGTCCATCCTGATCACTCTAAGGAGGTGGCCTACTAGACCCCACTAGTTCACCTTAATGAGAGTGTGACCAGAGCAGGGGCTGGTGTCCTGGACCCATGAAAAGAAAGGGTACAAGCCTTTCTGGGGAGGGCCTCACAGTTCTGTAAGGAAGAGGTGACAAGGAGCCAGGGCTCTGAAATCAAGGACCAACCCACCCACTCTCCTCCTGAGCACAGGGAACTCTTCCTGTTTTCAGCCACTCCCACCCCACCACCCAGCCCTCTGAGATCACTGCAATGACATCCTTGTCTCTCTGTCCACCCTCGTGTCTTCATCCAACTTACTCAGCACAATGCTTCTAGAGAAGTCTTTCTCACACAGAAAAGTGATCATAGCTGCCCTGTTTAAAGCCCTTAGCAAGGCATTCTGGTGCTGCAGAATCTGTCCGCATACCTCTACTCCCAGACATTCCCTCGGCTGCACCCTACTTCCAACTTGCCAATTTTCATTCATCCCCTTAATGACCATCTGTCCAGCGCCTATTACGTGCCAGGCATAATGACTGGAAAATAATTGGTAATAAAATTCAGTCCTTGCTCTCAAGGAGCTTCCAACCTAGTTTTCAGAGGAAGGTAGACATGTAACTGGGACTTGGGAGGTTGAATGTTGTGCTAAGGCCAATGTGGATGTATGAGGGGAGGACCAACATAGACTTGGGCGATGTTAGCTTCCTAGAGGATCTGGTACCCAGCAGAGGTGCAAAGGATGGTGAATGAGCCATCTGAGTGGGACAAAGGGTGCCAAGAGAGGCCACCGTATGTGCAAAAGCCCTGAGACAGTGGATAGCATGATGGGCAGGGGGACCTGCTGGGAGCTGGGTAGAATGTTATAAGGGGAGGGCAGGAACCCATGAGGACAGGATGCAGCCAGCAGGCTGGCACAGCTGTCAGGGCCCAGCTCTCAGTCACACTCAACACAGTCCTGAGGCAGGGGCACACCTAGCTTCTTCACACGTCTAAGGCAGGAACACACCTAGCTTCTTCATATGTCTAAGGCAGGAACACACCTAGCTTCTTCATATGTCTGAGGCAGGAGCACACCTAGCTTCTTCACACATCCTGCCTTCCCAGATCCCAGCCAGCAGCCTGAACACCTGCATGTCACCCCGCTCAAACTCAAGATTTACCAGTCCCCTGCCCTCTGCTCCAGGGTCCCTGTATATTCACCTCATCTCTACGCGCTGAGTCACACGTGTCCCTCAGAGGCAGCAGCATCAAAGCTGCCCCATGAGGCCTTGGTGCCTGACTCAACCAGACCAACAACCACACCATATCAGTGACCAATTGTATTTATGTATTCTCCCAGCTCCAAATTGACCTCTAACTACCTGTTGTTCAAAAATTCATCTTGGCCCTTTTCATTTGTGTTACCTGACACAAAATTAAGCTTTGTCAATAGGCGCCTCAGTAAACATTAATGGATCACAAGAATGTGGACTTTTCCTTCCCTTTGCTCTCTCAGAGGCTCTTGTGCAGCTTCTCCAATGCTGGGTTCCTGCAGCAGAGGTGGTGTCTACAGCATCAAGTGCCTGCAAGTGCCAGGCAATGTGGTACTTAGGAACCAGTGGCACCATTCAACTGTCCATGCCCAAATCTTTGCAGTCCCCTTTAACCTCTCTCCCTCCCTCCCTCTCTCTCTCTCTCTCTCTCTCTCTCTCTCTCTCTCTCTCTCTCTCTCTCTCTCTCCCTCTCTCTCTCTCTCTCCCTCTCTCCCAGCCCCACATTCACTCCATCAGAAAATCTTGTCAGCCTAGCCCTCAAGCGTGGTACTGACACCCAAGCTGCCTAGACAACTACAGTCAACTCCTAACTGTGACTGGCCTTCGAGTCTTCTGCCTCCCTTGAGTCTGTGCTCCAAGAGCAGCCAGAGGGACCCTGTGGAAAACAAGCCCACAGGCTGAGCGTGTAACTCAGTGACAAAGTGTGTTCTTTGCACAAGCAAAGCCTGTCATCCAATCCTGATGCAGAGATTAAAAAAAAAACAATGAAACAAAATGTAGCACTCTAGATAAATTCAAAGGCAGCTGTTTGAGTATTCTGAAAAGTCAGCAAAAACAGGCAGATGGTGGCAGAAGGCAAGGCTTCAATAAGTGACCTCCCCAGCCCCGCCCCAGGCCTTGAGCTGAGGGTGGAACAGGGAAGCATCGGCTTGTACAGCTGAGATCCCTGTGAAAGGTCCGCCTTCCCACCCAAAGGAAAAGAAAAGGGACTCTTATGAGGTGGGAAATACTGAAGCAAGGCACACACTCTGCTCTCCTGTGGCTTTGCTTGAGGGCCAGGCCCTGCAGGGCTTGGCAGGACTTTGTAGCAGGGTTGTGGTGAAAACCCTGAGAGATTTGGTGGCTCTGGCATGAGGAACCAGGAAAAGAGGCTCTGGAGAAGGGCTGGTGGGGTCAAGCTGAACAATTGGAGAAGGAAATGCCTGTGTGGGAATCCACCGACATCCTAGGCTCGCCTTGAGCTTCACTGACAGAAAAAAACCAAAGCAACCTTCCAAGAGCTTGGAGATTTAGAGTTAGACTCTTAGCTCCACCCACATTTCCAACAAAGCCCAGAGTGACATGGCATAGAACAGTCACTAAGGAGCCAGCACAGGCTTGGGAAACTGAGGGCTTTGTCACCACTGCCCCTCCAGGGAGGGCTGGAACGTGAAGCCTGAAACTGGCTGGACTGACTCCCCACTAAAACCAAACAAACCAAACTCGAACATAAAGATTGTATCAGGACCCTGAGTCAACAAATCACCAACGTCAGTGTGTGTGTGTGTGTGTGTGTGTGTGTGTGTGTGTGTAAACTAAAGATATGTTGATGTTCAAGGAGTCAAGAAAACATAAGCAATTCTCATGCAGAGGGAGAGTCAACTGACACTCATCATTGATGATATAGCTGTGAGCTTTATCACACAGAGACTTCAAAGTGCCACCATCACCATGCTCTAGAAGGTGACACATCTGAAGTGAATAAGAGGGTAAGTTGGGTATTGTAGTTCAGGCCTGTAATCTTAGCACTCAGAAGGTTGAGGCAAGGAAACGGTAAACTCAACACAAGACCTCCCTGGGTTATAGAATGAGTTCAACGGCAGCCTGGGCAAATTAGCAAGAAGACCCCACCTCACAGTAGAAAGCTTACAAGGGGATGGGGTGTAGATCAGGGGTAAAGCGTTGGCCCAGTGTATTCATGCATTTGCTAAGTTCAATCCTCAAGACAGTAAGAAACAGGAGGGGGCAGGGAAGAGAAGGGGAGGGGAAAAGGGGGAGAAAGGGAGACAGAGACAGAGTTCTCAGCAGCACAGAATAAATGATAAGAGACAAAACCAAGTAGACATTTGAGAACTCAAAAGTAGAATATTCGGGAAGCAAAAGCAGTGATGAACTTCACAGCGAAAAGAGGAGATGGAGGAAAGAGCCAGTACTTTGGAGACAGAATAATAGTCATTATCTACCAGAGAGAACAAGGAGGACTGGAAAATGTGAAGCTGAAAAAAGCAGCAGGTTGCACATGTGAGCAACAATTGCACACGGGGATAATAACTTAAATCACTGTAGATTTCTCACCGGAAGCATGGAAGACAGCGGAACTGTGCATGGCAAACACTGAGGGCTGAGTAGGAAGGATGTCAGTTGCTCACTTGTTTGGTTGCATTTCTATGTGTGTAGTGCTGAGCTGGAGCCCAGAGCCTCTGTGTGCGAGACAAGCCCTCCACCATGGAGCTGCACCCCGGCCCTGCAAATATAAGACCCCATAGGCATCCTTCAGGAGCAAAGGCAGGAAGAAAAAGACAGGCTCACTCTGTAAGAACTGATCTGCTCTGACGCAGACGCTTGAGCTCTTCAAAGTGAAGGTATGTGACATGGCAGGGAACCGCACAAGGCAGGAATGAAGAAAGGGTGACAGGAAGTATTATCTAACTAGACATAAGTGACTGTCTTGCTTCCCTTATCTTCAAAGTATGCAAACTGCTGAAAACAAAAATGGTGGCCTCCTCAGATGAGGTGGCCATGGACCCAGAAGTGCTAGCCATGACAACTTGTAAGAGAAAGGCGTTGGGAAGTGATAAAACTCTGGCTCTATCCAGGATTGCTGGTGCGTGCCTGCAACCCTAGTGTTTAGGAGACTGAGGAAGGAAGTCTGAGGCTAACCCAAGCTATAGAAACACTTCCAGACCAACCTAGGCTATGTACAAGACTGTGTGTGTGTGTGTGTGTGTGTGTGTGTGTGTGTGTTCAAGCTCTAAGTTGGTTGAGAAATATTTTATTATATACATTGCAGTTCTAGATAAATTTAGATAACACTTTTAATTTTATTTATTATAACGGTGTGTGTATGGCGGGGTGGGCCTGTGGAGGTCAGAGGACAGCCTTGTGAAGTCTGTTCTCTCACTCTACCTTTATATGGGTTTGGGGGATCAAACTCAGGTCACCAGGCTTATACAGCAAACCACTGGGCCATCTCACTACCTTCTAAAGGAGTATTTTTTTTAAGAATTCAAGGAATAGTTAATAGAATATTAGTAGAAACTAACATCAGAAAGACCAAAAAGAAACAAATAATAAACTCATAGACTTAAACAGACCCACATTAATAATTGGTTATGATACATAAGGTCCAATTGCAGTGGCAGAGGCATGGACTCCCCTCTTGTGTTTCCAGTTGACTGAGGCAAACCCAAGGTCCAAGAGGTTAAACTCCCACATGAGGACACGTGCTTGCCTATCCCTGAACCTTAATGAGCCGCTGGTCTCATGGGTACCTCAGTGTAGATCACACTCATGCACCATGTACCTGAAGCACTTAGCTAGCCTGCAGTCTGGCACAAGAAGCCCTTGAGTTGTTTTAATGGAGAATACATCTGCA